TGAAAATGCGTCACCTTCAATGCGCATTTTAACGCGCGTTACCGCCTTGGCGCTACTAGGGTGAGGCCCTTGTGTGCCAGATTCCTAGGTCTTGCAAGCGCACCACAGCAAGGTGACAGGAAAAGGGAATCGCTTACTCTCGTTTTTCGTGCATGTCGGAACCCAGCCAGGGAACTCCCACGGCCCGCGTTCGCCGTGAGTCGAACCACCAGAGCCCTGGGGTGTATTTAAATTGTCCGACCTTTCTCCGACCTGGCGTTTTTTCCAAAATCCCAAAAAGTGCTGTCCAACCTAGGTTTTGTCCGAACTAATTTTTTCCGACCCATTTTTTTCCGACCTCGTCGATATGCTGAAAGTTTGGAAAATGCAGTTATACTTTACCCCACGTTTGGTTTTCCTACCCCAGGGGGCCGTAGCGCCTACGGGCATTGCAGGTAGGCAACACGCACGCCTGCGTGCGATACAGCATAACCACGACGACTGGCGGGTTCGCCTACCTCTGGTGGCCAGAGCGCCTTACGGGCAGTGCGGCAGTGTGGCACTAAGCTTTAGACGTGAATCACCTCCGTGCAACCGGCAACCCCCTGACGGTCGGTCGGTTGGTCGGCCAAACCGTATCTTATTTTGACAGCCCCATCCCATAGCCCTTAGTACTCCGTGCGCGAGCTGTCTGTGTCCCAGCGGGCCCTTGCGTGTGTATGGGGGCGAGATGAGCACAGTTCACGATTGTAGCTACAGCCGAAACGTCCCTGTTTGTAGCTACACGATTGTAGCTACAGCTGACAGTGCCCGAGTCAGCTTAAACTGAACCGTCTATAGACGAATTTATTTCTTCCGACAATGCTACCGCATGTTTATTGCCACAAAGCAAGCAAATGTTAGTCTTGGTAGATTTCTGTCATGGGTGACCACGGGGGAAAGGTCCCGGATGACGCCTTGGATCTTGCATGATCCAGCGCCCTGGAAGATGAATAGGTCATCCGCATCGAAAGACCTCGAAAAACCTGGGACCTCACACACAGGGCATAGCCCTCAGACTTGTTTACCAAAAAAAAAGCCATGTTTTTCTTGTACTGTTAAATATCTAAAATTAACTTGTGTTATTGAGTTTGTGCAGTTCTGCAATAAAATATGAGTTGTGTAGATGTGATGGCGCACCTCATCTTGATTGTGTCTGACACCCATATGGCATTAAATTGCAAGATTTGAGATATTCTTTGGTGTTTATTTAAAAGTTTCTATTGATTTCATAGTTTCCAATAATCATATTAATATTAATCCAGTTAGTTCAGATGAGCAAGTTCCTATATTGACACAGATACTGGTAGTAACATGTTTCACCTCCAATGCTTACACTTTCTGATACAGAATTATTATAGCACCGTAACTCACAGAAGACTAGAAACTTGCACTCTTAAAATCTATAGCAGTTCCTATGGCTATATGCTCAATATGACAATACAACATTCATGCAGCCTAAAAACCATCGGATGGATAAAGATTGTAGGACTTTGAAGAATACTGACATCAGTAAAATAGGTCCTTCATTTAAAGAGGTCTAGCTCAAACTCAATCATAGCACTTGTGTTTGTAAAATTACAAATCATATCTTATAAT